GTTATATTGATTTCTAATGCACATCATTTTAAAGCTTAGATAGTCTAATTTTTGAATATATTTTTTATTTTTAATAGAGTCTAATAATTTTCAAGAAATGAGGAAAACTGATCACACGAGTGAAAAAAGGCCTTTAACCATTTCTTGTTCCCCGCTCTTTATTTTTTGAGGATTAACAACTAGATCAAAGTAAAGCTGGTATTCTGACCTTCCAATTGATATAAGTCAATCCCCATATGCGTTCTTGGTTCTAAAAAGGTTGTTACAATTATATACTTAATTTTTACGGTCCCCCTCTGAGATCCATTATATTGTATATAACCTAACCTCGTGTACCCACGCGGCGGTAGTTGTCTGCATGTGTTTGTATATGTTACGGTTAAAGTGTTTACTTGGATAGTTTATAGACTAGCTGGATAGCATACAAACTATCCAAATGTCCTGCTATTTTGATGGAAAATCATATTTATAATAAAGTAGCTATGAATATTGGTTAGGTTTTATATTATCCGGCTAGTTTACAAACTATACAAGATTTATCGTTAAAGTAAAAACCACAAGAAAATTATACACAAATTAACTGATTTTTGGGTAGTTTACAAACTATCCACAGTATTTGGATAAAGTGTGAACTTAATATTCGTAGTAACACATAATAACCAGCTCGTCGGTTAGTATGTAAACTCACCAATCCTCTTTGGTTAATTTAGATTATCGACTATATAATTGAATAATTTTGTTCCAATAAAATAAATATACTGGCATTTAAACTTAAAAAATAAAAAAGAAATGGATCGGCTGTGAATCGAGCTTGAGCCGCCCGCATGGCAAGTGACCACTGAACCACCTATCCGATTTTGCCTTCATTCATATGAGTTATATTTAAATACAGATTATTGATTGTTTAAATAATTTCATTTTTGGAATTTGGAATAAATTTTATTTGTTATTTGGCCACTCTGTACCTACACCTACATATTGAAAAAAATACCTACCTCGTTTGCAAATTCTTGGCCGTTGACGCTCTTCAACACGCAAGGACTTCCTAGGTCTGCAAATAGGTGCTCAGCTACTTCTCTAGCCTTCTTTGTTTTCGGTGCTCTCAACCTGACGTATTTGGTTAGGTGGTCTTAATAGACAAAAATAAACTTGAAGTCACCATTTGGTGTTGTTTGTCGATGAGATCGATTTGGCACCGACAGTTTAAATTATTTGATACAATTATTGGTTTCACATACCTTTCTTAGTTTTTCCGTTTGAGCTGACAGGTTTTGCAATTTTCAATAAATAATTTTACCGTTTCCTGTGTTAAGTTATAATACTTTTTATTTAATAATTTTGTAGTTGCTTGACGACCTCTATGCCCAGTTTTCTGGTGGGCAGCTTTAATCGCATCATAACATTCACTCAAACGTAAAATAATCTTTCCAGATTTTTTATGTAAAATTATATAAGATGGTTCGATTCTCTATAAATCATCATAAGTATTTACTACATAATAATCGTTTTTGTTACTTGTGTTAGGTCCAGTTTCGCGTATTCTCTTTATACATTGCAAAAGTTCACTTACTACCCAGACAGCACAAATAGATCCATTGGCCGTCCATTCGAATATACAATTTTGGATATCTAGACGTCCAAAAATTAGTTTTTTGTGGACTTCCGATATCCAATAGACGTCCAGTGAAGTATACAGTTGGCACACTTTTGGCTATTCATAAGACGTCCAATTCTGAAATATATTTGGACGTTGAATAATGGACATTCAAAAAACGTCCATTCCTGGATTATATTCCATTGAGACCACATCCGCACTTTTTTTTACACAACCGCAACTCACTACAAACTATTTTATATTATTAATAATTTATTTATTTTTTCGCAATCCGCTATACACCATTTATTATTTTTTTTTTTTTGATTAAAAATCACTTGATCTAAGCAGAGATCGAACTCACGACACGTCCATTGTCGTTCTAGGCTTTCAAGCGCTAAGCGCCCTCGACCAAGGAACTTACAAGATACGCTATTAGTATAATAAGATTTCAAATTTCCGCTGATAGAATGAAATGTAATAGATTTAATTGTCAATTTTTAATGAGCAATTCTATTTAAAAAAAGGCAGTGTATATAGATGGGTATTATCTGGTAGGCTAAATAAATAATGACCTAAGATGGACGTCCACCGGACGTCAAAATAATACTAAACTTAAAATTAAGTTCAAAAACAGACGTCCTTTGGGTATCGTCAAATTAATGATCATAAATAGACGTGTACTGAATGTCTGAATACGGGTATGGATGTTCTGGCCCACAAATGGATCTTAAGTGGACGTCCATTGGACGAAGTGTGCTGTCTGGGTAGAATCACTGTCATTCATTAATTTTGAATTTTGTGACTTTTGCTCGTAAATTTCCAAAAGTAGGTTTTCAAATTATTGCTGTTGATTCATTTTTAATAACCAGATACCTCTTCTTAAACAAATTTTACAAGACACCACAGTAAGAGTAAACAATAATAACACAACACTTGCCATAACTATAAACTCACTTTTCTAATAAATTAACCAAAGAAGATTGGTCGGTTTACATACTAACCGACGAGTTGGTTATTATGTATTACTACGAATAATAAATTCACACTTTATCCAGGTACTCTAGATAGTTTGTTAACTAGCCAAAAATACCGGTTAGTCTGTGTTACTTTTCTTGTGGTTTGTACTTTGGCGATAAATATTGTATAGTATGTAAACTAGCTGGTTAGTATACAAACCAACCAATATTCATAGCTATTTTAGTAGAAATATGATTTTCCATTAAAATAGCAGGACATTTGGATAGTTTGTATCCTATACAAATAGTCTATAAACTAGCCAAGTAAACACTTTAACCGTAACATATAAAATCTCTGTTTTGAAGTCGTCGACTTGACCGGATTATTGATGTACTGATGATATTTTTTCATTATTTATTTTGAATTATTTATTTAAAATAAAATAAATATTTTTTCTACGACCGTGTATTTTTACCCACTTTCCCGCACGCATTTTAGTTTTAAAAGTGTCACTTTCCCGCACTAGTGCGGGAAAGTAAAATTATGAATATTTGGCCTTACCTATTGTATAGTTTTTTTACCTCGGATGTTATAACTATTGTTACAATAGGTAATTTAGTATTTTCCAACTATTCCATTTAATAAAATTTACTTTTTTCCTTGCTTTCTGTTATAATTTTAATTTTTTGGAAAACTTGAATAATAGAGATATTTTTATATATCTTCTGTATATTTTTAAAAGTCAGACTAGGCTGTGACATGTATGGCTTGATATGGTTGCTGTATGGTAACCAAGGCGTGTTATTGTTACAAAAACGTCAAAGTTTTTTGTTGAAGCGTCAACTGAATTAAAATAAATTAAAGAAATAATGGATTCACCGGATGAAGAGCTGCCCGAAGCCATTTTAAAAGCTGCAAATGAAGCACATTTGGAGGTGTTACCTGCCAAATCACGAGGAAGATATGAAAAACAATACGCCCATTTTGTCACATGGTGTAAACAGGAAGGGGTAAAAACCTACAAAGAAGAGGTGTTTCTGGCGTATTTTTCGCACCTAAGTAAGTTTTTGAAATCTAATACTTTATGGTCTCGCTATTCGATGGTGAAAAGTTTAGTAAAAATAAAACAAAATTTGGATATAAGCCAGTTCCATAAGTTAACGTCATTTCTAAAACAAAAAAATGTTGGTTTTCGAGCCCAGAAGGCGCAGGTTTTTACCAAAGAAGATATATCCAGATTTAGGTTAGCCCCTGATGAGGTATACCTTATGATTAAAGTGAGTACCATTTTTGCTTTAGCTGGTGCTCTCCGCAGAGCGGAGCTTGTAAATATCACTCTCGATGATATACAAGATAAAGGCAATCTGATAGTTGTGAAAATTTCCGATTCCAAAAATCATTCTTCAAGATCATTTATTTTATGTGAAGAAATAAATAATGGAAACTTTCTGAAGCTGTACAGAAAGTACGCAGGTTTACGACCACCTACCACTCCGCATCGCCGCTTTTTTATTAATTATAAGAAGTGAAAATGCTCAATTCAGTGCGTTGGCGTAAACACCTTTGGTAAGATACCAATAAAGATTGCTGAATATTTGCGTCTACCTAATCCTGAACGATATACAGGACACAGTTTTAGACGTTCTTCAGCAACATTCCTAGTAGACTCAGGTGAAGCGATAACCAATATAAAACGCCTCGGTGGCTGGAAGTCCACTACACGGAGAAAAAAGGATAGTAAAAATAATGAGAAATATGATTACTTTAACCATGTTTTCTGGTACTATATGTGACAGCAACATAGTTTTGTTAAATCTACTATATATGCATGGCTAAAATGTATATCTACCATTACCATTCAAATATTGTAAATAAAGTTAACATTAAAATATTTTAATTCTTATTGTCCGAGATATAGTTACCTATAACAATTGTGTATTGTTGTCATAAATATACTAGTTTAGTACAAATTAAAGTATTAAATTTTAAATTAAGGTATCTGGTTTTATATTAGCTACAAATCTTTTTATTACATAGTTATATTCGTAACTATTAACGTTGAGAATATAATTTTGTCTCTATTACCATTTTAGATGTATCCAAATATGAGATAATATTTATGTTTTACCATACAGTATTATGAGTGGAAATAATTTATATGGTATATATAGTTTGTTTTAACATTGATTTTGCCATATTGATTATTGAAAATTAAAATACTGTTATAATAAATAATATTAATTATTATGGTCAATTTAACAAATTCCATTTGCGGTTATTAAAATATTGCATGGTAAAATAATAAAGGGGAATGTGAGGGTAATAAAGAAATAAAATGTATTCAAATTATTATTTTTCTTTTATTAACTAGGTGAAACATTATTTATCCTTCACATTATAAAATTAAATCATTGAAAAATGGCGAAAAATGAACTAATAACTTAAACTAGTCTAAGATATCATATTTTAAGGTTACATAACAACTTTCAAGAATATAGGAAGAGACTACAGGATGAATATAAGATAATTGTTTTTGTGGTATACATGCTAACTGTGTTGAAGGTTGTATTTTGTAACTTTGTAGGTGTTCATTAAAAGACTTTGTTATACATTTTTTAATAATAAAATATACGTTGTTATTAGGTTTTATTAAAATAAATACAATTTTTGCGAAAATTGGCATACCTCTTTTCCCAACTACTATTATATCATTATCTTTATATTTTACTCCAAATACTTCTACAAAAGCAATTCTTGTCAAGTTATTCTCTTTGTTTTCCTCTATTAAAATTTTAGTTATCCCTGGATCAAGATGCAAGTCATAAAGTTCATCAATAGATTTTGAAGAGCCGAACACTAAATCATTTTCAAATCCCTTATTTTGAGTAAGAATATTACAAAAGTGCAACTGATGTTTAATTGCAATTGTTTTTGATATGTTAACTCTTGAAGCAACAACATTTGCTATCGATTTAAGACTCTTGTGTTTTCCTTCATATCGCATTGACCACAAATGGACAGGAGGCCCTACCTTATTTAACATATCTGGCAAATGTAACATGAAATGAAATTTTGGAGTTAATTCACAATCAGGAAATAGTTCTAAATAAAGTTTATGATGGCTAATAATTAAATTTTGTAAAATTAAGCTACTGCTTTTGGATATACAAGGACTCGTGATTATCATGATAATTTTTCTTAAAAGCAAATATAATTTCCAATAATCATTATTTTCTGGAATGTCATTTCCAATAATAATACAAAAATATCGACAAAATAACAACATTTCACTAGATGACATTTTCAGTTTTTTAAATTTTGCATTGTCTTCACTTATTTTAACTGGTTTATTTCTGATTTCAGGGCCATAGTTAAAAAAGGTAATTTTGAAATTTAAAGTATCCAAATCTATTATTTTATCTACTATTATTAGTCGATGAACAATATTTCCCATAACATATAAACAAACCCCTTCAAAGACATCGTGCATAATATCCAGTAAGTAGTTCTCAGTTACATGAAATGACGGTATTTCATTAAAAACACAACTTTCTATAATACCACTTTTAGATGAATCGTTAAGAAGTAGGTCCTCGTTATAATTTATTTTTGTTCTTAGTAAAGCATTATCTAAATTAACTTGATTTCTACTAATATTACTAGGCATTTTGCAAAGCCTACAAAAATAATTTGCTCGAAAACCTTGTACAAAACCTAAAATAGTATTAATTCCAAGATTATCTCCTTGAATTAGTGTCAACTTAAACTTAACATTATGTATTTTATTTTCAACCATAATATCTATTCCTACTTTTTCCAATTGTTTTAATTCCTCTATTAACTTTGCAAATAATATTTTTGCACCAAAAGTTTTAAGATCTGAAGAATGAAATAACATAGTTAAAAAAATATTCTGTAACTTTGAACTATACTTAGGAGGTATGACAGGCAATGTATAATAAACTGCTCCTAATTTATGTATTCCTGCATGAGCACCTAGAGGATTCCCTACCTCAAATTCATCAAAATATATTAATATAGGTAACAGTAAACCGTCTACGTTTGCTGACTTGGATTTCCATAAATCACACTGAATCAAATTCGTTATTAAATTCTTATTATCTGATAAGTCATTTAAGTAGTTTGTACATTCTTTTAAAACATTTTTCATTTGAAAAAATTCTTTCAATAATTTTGAGATAGATATAAACTGGAAATTCAATTTAGAAGGCTTAAGAATTCCATTAGGAGTCAATAATAAATGCCCTCCAATAGTGACCTCTTCTGGTTTTATAAAAGTTCTCCTGCTTTCTAAAACATTAAAGCGACGATATTCAGTATTTAAATTTATAAACATATTATCAATTTCTTTACACATTTCCAATAGATATTTTTTTTCTGAATCAAATTTAAATTCACTGGTATCAATTTTCTTTTGTATCATATTTAAGGGTAATATAAAGCAATTTTGAAAATCATTAATAATGTTCTGAACTTCTTTTCTTGTTATACTTAATTCTCCGTAAAGTCGACTAATAAAAGAGTATGTGGCATTAGAAAGAATATCTTGAAAATGTTTAAATTCTTGACTTGTCTGTGAATTTATCGAACTACAAAGATCATTTTTATTAATATCTTTATTTTTAAATTCAAATGCTTGACTAGTAGTAGGAGGAGTACTACTGTCTGTGAAATTAGTTAAACATATGAAATTGGTTTCATTCTCAATGTTTAATTTATCTACGTCATGTTTATTAATATGTTTTTTAAAAGAATTGACACTTAAAAAAACTCTGCCGCAGTTAGATTGATTACACTTGTATTCATCCTGTTTGTCCAGTTTATGTATAATTTTCATATGTGTGATTAAAATTTTAACAGATTCAAAGTCCTGTTTACACATATAACAGGAAAACATATTTATATAAATAATAAACAAAGGGACTAATTTTTAACACCACACTGACTCACTTCGCTGGCAAACACTTCAATACCGCTGCTTCTTACATCTTGTCCTGTATATATTTCATACACATAATTTTGAAGGTAAGTCCACACGTGTCCGCATTCGGCAGGATATTTTGCTTCCAAAGCAAAAAATATTTTGAAAGTTGTATCCAACGCTGAAACTACATCTTTTAAAAAATACAAAATTTCATTTACTCGTATGTACGCCAAAATCCCTTCCGGGTTGCTTTTAGGTCCTACAAAAACCAAAAATGGCTGCACAGTTAAATCTTTTCTTTTTGCTTCTTTTTGAACTGTTTTAAGTCTTTCCTGCAGTTCAGTAATGACCTGAAAATTAAATGAAATATTTTTAAGTTAAGATGTACTAAACAAAATAAAAGTGTACTTTTTTGGAAATATTACTACTCTCTCTATATATAAAACAAAGCAGTTGATTAAAAAAGTATATTTTTGTATTTGAGTTTTTGTCTGAATTATTATTAATTAGATGGAATTATAGGCTTGAGCAAGTTATATTTCGAGTACAAAAATTAATATACAGGGTGTTTTTTAATAACATGCTAATATTCTAGAGGGTGATTTTTGGACCCATTTTAAGAAAAAAACTTTATATGAATATATGCCCTAAACGTCTTAACTTTTGAGATACAGGGTGTTAAAGTTTTAGGAAAAAAATAATTTTTTATTGTCATTTTCATACCACTTTAAATATTTTTATGAAATTTGATGTACGGCGCTAATGCATTAACGAGCATTTTTTTATCTCCAATAGTGGCGTCCGTACTGGACTCAGATTAGATATTTTTGAAGGAAAAAGTGGTACACCACTGCTTTCTCTTAAAATAAAAATTGTTTTTGGAGTCCCTGTTCAATTTAGAACAACTTTAAGTTTTTGTCTTTTTTTCCTACCTCACCGTTTTCGCACAAAAAATAAAATTCATTCATTTGCATCTCATTGGGCTAAAAAACGATTAATGTAACTTTAAATAATAATTTATTTAAGTGGATAACTTTTATTTACGCCACTGTTGGAAATAAAAAAATGTTTTTTAGGTCAAAAAATGCTCGTTAATGCATAAACGCCGCACACCAAATTTCATAAAAAGTGGTATGAAAATGACAATAAAAAATTAAAAATGAACACCTTGTATCTCAAAAGTTAAGACGTTTAGGACATATATTCATATGAAGTTTTTTTTTCTCAAAATGGGTCCAAGAATCGCCCCCTTAAATATTAGCATGTTTTTGAGAAACACCCTGTATATTCAATATACAGGTACGGAAAATATACCTTAGAAATCGACAGAAATGGCTGAAGGCACCAATACCAATATGTCTGTTCGATTCATTGCAAGGTATACTTTCCTTGTTGGAAATACCGAATTTGTATATTCGTTCAACTTACATTTACGTGAATAACGAAAGTTCTAGCAACCTCCGCTCTTGAAGGTCTCCAACTTTTTTTTCCATTTCTTATAGTAGTTGGTGAAAATAATAAAGGCAATGTCATTATTGCAATAAAATCTAAAACCACATTTAATCTTAGTACGGTTTATAATCAATTAATAAAAAACTAAGCATTTTCTCACCATTAAATAAATCATCTTCCTTTATGATTTTTTTTTTGAGCCCAATTCTTAGTATGCATTGCTGTAGGAAATTCCATTTTTTAAAGAGATTTTTGTCGTTTTCATTATATAATTGATTAAAATCATTAATCAGTAGTTCATAGCCATCAGGCTGTTTAATAATCGGAAACATTGACATGTATTGATATAGATCAGTCGAATGCAGTAACTTTCTTCTTGCATTAAAAGACAAACTCCAATGTGAAGATACTTCTTCAAACGGAGACAGATTATTTTTTACGTAATCTAAGGAAATTTGTTCCTGTACATTATTTATCGGTTCATTCTCTATTGAATTTACTACCGTTCCTAAAACAAAAAAAATCATAATGATTTTTATAAAAATCATGTGTTTTATAAAGCAAATGCTTACAATCATATGCCGCCTGCACAAAACGTTTTTCAAAGAATGAGATATAGGTACCTGTTCTTTCTAAAAAATTATAAACTTTTCTTGCATTCGTATATCTGGCCCATAATTTTCCAGAGCATTGTTTTTTTGGAGTACTGTTCGACTTTGGTTCATAAGGACGAAAATAAATTGTGGCATGTTCAGTAGGAAAACACTCTTCAATTTCTCTTGATGCTTTTACAAATTCCCTTTGAGGTATTCTTAAAAATTAAAATATAACATGTAATTAATGATAAATCAAATTTTATATCTATATGTTCTCATACTTATAATTGGGATATTTCAGAAATAGAAAATCTATGATCAATTTACAGATTTTTCCTCTCGTGTACTCATTTAATGAGTTCTTGTTTCTTATAATTAGTCTTCCTTCAGAAGACTTTTCCAAATAATTTAGTAAGCCCTAAAAAGAAAAGAAACTTCCAAATTAAGATGTATCATACATCAAATTTTTAACCTTTAACTACACACGCTGGTGTAAAAAGTAGATGAGTTAAACTAAAAAGTCTGCCATTTTTAAATGAGCTCATCTACACCACATTAAAAGTATGTTATTTAAACATTGACACTTTGTTTTTTAAGTATTTTAGAGAAAAATAAATAATTTAATTAAAAACAAAATGGATGGTCAATAGGTGTATAAAGTACACCATGCATGAATTTGTATAATAATTTAGGGCGCATGTAGTTAAAGGTTATTTATTTAAACTAGATTTTTTATTTATACAGGGTGAGTCATGAGGAACCTTACAGACTTCTACCATATGTAGAGTCTCTTAGGGGGTATATCATATGAGCATTAAAAAGTGGCAACTCCCCTTCGTTTTGGGAATTTTGACAAAAATTTATATGGCCGTAAAATCTACAAGGATCAGTAGATTTCTCTAATTTTTTGGTGAAACTGTACACTGTTGTCTAACATTTAATTAATATCCTCAAAAGTTAAAAATTCCAGGGCAGGCTTAGGAAAAATTAATCTCGACGAGTCATATCAAAAAGTTCACCATATACGATTTTTTTAAATTATAATAAGAGAATTTGAAAGTACTCACATAGACAATCAAAACTGTGTATGTGACATTTTTGTCACATTTTCGTTAAATTTTTTATTAAGATTCGATTTTGGACAAAACTGAAAAGTCACCTTAATGGGTCACAGAATATTGTTATAACTTAAAGAAAACATTGTCACTTTTTAATGCTCATATGATACACCCCTTAAGGGACTCTACTATTGTAGAAGTCTGTAAGGTTTCTCATGACTCACCCTGTATAAAATTTCAAATTTTTTTCAAACTATTTTTTTAGGCAATTTCAACATTGAAAATATTAGCTTACTAATTCAAAACTTATTTTTTTAAATCAAAATAATTTTTATTGACATTTTTTTCTTTTGGTGATAAATTTTACAATTCCAATTTATTTTAACGCTTAAGGAGGTCCTTTCGTTCACCCCTTTCGCCTCCAATGTTAAATAAAAAATATTAGATTATGACTAAAATTTATTTATTTTTCTAATAGTTGAAGTCCTTATTTATCTAATAGTGAACTTTTAAGTATACCTTACCGTGCAAATTTTTGAGAAATTTGTTTTTATAAATGTGAGTTTTTGTACAGTGTCTTACGAGAAAGTAAGACCCCAACAACAATTCTCGAATTATACTATTATTTATTGATTAGATGGAGTAGAAAAAAACTAAAAATAGGGTTTTTGAAATATTTAGGTTTTGTTTTTTACAATAAAATATATAGGTTACCGTGGAATTTATTGAGAAATTATTATTAAAAAAAAAATTCAAGTAACCTAGTTGAAAATTTTTTGTTATTTTTTAATATTAATTTCTCAATAAATTCCACGGTAACCTATATATTTTATTGTAAAAAACAAAACCTAAATATTTCAAAAACCTTATTTTTAGTTTTTTTTACTCTGTCTAATCAATAAATAATAGTATACTTAATTATAATTCGAAAATTGTTGTTGAAGTCTTACTTTCTCGTAAGACACTGTACAAATACTCACATTTAAAAAAAAAATTCTCAAAGGTATAGTTAAAAGTTCACTATTAGATAAATAAGGACTTCAACTATTAGAAAAAAATTAATTTTAGTCATAATCTAATATTTTTTATTTAACATTGGTGGCGAAAGGACCTCCTTAAAAAAATAAAATATCAATTTTTTTTTAATCGGATATTGCTTTAAAAATTTTTATTTCCAAAAATGGTGATTTTTGTATTTTTTTATATTTTAATTTCTTCCAAAAATTTTAATTGTATAAAAATGTTTTTATAAGTTAATGTTTTTATTTTTTTATTTAACCAAACACAAATTGAGTTAAAATCGTATATTTTATTTTTATTGTTACACAAACAAAATTCAAAAGTTAAAGATTATTAAATTAGTTGCGACCTTAACAATCAATGTATTAGATAAAGACAACTTTAAAAATTTGCAACAAAGAAGTAATAAACATTCGTACTGAATATATTTTTAACTTACATTTTCAAATAAGACATCCTCATTTTCTTTTTTTCTTTTTTGTGACACTTCTGGTGACTCTAAATCATTTATATTTATAATATTTTGTAATGGACTTGTAATATAATTAACCTCAGAAACTTTGGTGATGGTTGAAGAGGATTCTGATAGATTATCAGATCCTGACGCCAAATCAGAAAAATTGTCAATTATTATGACATCATCCAAAGTAGACTGAAAATAAATATATTGTCATATAAACAGTATAATCAGACAGCATAGGTTTTTGTTTATTAAATACTTTCTACCTACATTTTTATTTTTCATTTCTACAGCCATGTAATCACAATATTTTTTTTTGAACTTTAAGCGCACTCCCATATTTGGGATTAACTCTTTAATACTGTCGTCATTTAAGAGCAAAAAAGCTTCATCATCTATCCCATTTTCTAAAAATAATAAATTAATTAAAGCATCCGTAGTGATAATGCAGTGCTTTCATTTCAAAACCAGACAGTTAAAAAACTTTTGATTTTATGTAAAAAAAAACACGTCAACTTTTGTTTGCAAAGGAACGAATTGGCATATAAAATTTATACTCAGAAATCTAACCCTCTGGAGCCCGGCAGAACCCCCTATTTTTATTTTCAAAATAGCAAGTATGGTCAAGTTACACATTGGAATATGAATAATTCAGCAATATGGCGGCTATTCATTACGTTACTTTTTACTTTTGATTTTAACACCTTCTAGCTGGATAAAAAACTGTTACGTTTTGGAAAGTGTGACACTTCATTTGAAAACTAATTTTATTGCATAATTTGTTATTTTAGTTGATTAGGATTAAAGTTTGTATATCTTAACATTATAAATCTGCATGAATTTTCTATTATTTAGGTTCATGTTTCATTAAATTCTGTTTTGTCATATTGTTTTAAATTACTAAGGACCGATTCCACCGTTGTGTTAAACGAAGTTTAAAATGACATTTTTACATTAACAGTGTCATTTTAATCTCCGGTTAACACAACGGTGGAATCGGCCCTAATACAATTAACTTTTAATCAAAGTGTTATAATTTAAAATATGTAACAGTTTTTTTATATCAACAGAGGGCGCTAAAATCATAAGTAACGCAATGAATAGTCATATTGTCCAATTCCTTATAAAAATACCTTTCCAATGATGTGTTTGACAATTCGTCCCATTGCCAATAAAAGTTAATTTTTTTTATTTTGACTGGTTGGTTTTATAATGAAAGCATTGTCTAATTAATACCTCAATTAAAAAATAAATTTATTTTTTTTATTTGCAAGCTTTTTATATTTTGCGCCATTTAAGTTGGCAACAACCACATGATGAATAAGTTAAATAAACTTTGACAGTGGCGTACGGCATGGGTAAACTAAGTAACACCTTCACCTCTTTTAATTTTTATGTCGCTGTCCAAATACTTATTTGGACAAATTTTAGATTTTTGATGAAAATCACTCACTTTATAAGTTCCCAACAAGAGTACAAAATTTATTTAAAACACAAAAAAATAAAATTACAGTTTGAATAAGTTTTTGGACAGTGGTGTAAAATTTAGAAGGGATGAAGGTGTTACTTACCTATGCCGTACGTCACTGGCAAAGTTTAATTAACTGATTTTGTTTCTGATAGGTGTACCTATCTTATAACACCAAAATGTTTGTCAAATTTAGTAAAATTATATTTAAAAATAAAAAAAATATACTTATTAATAATTTTCTAATTTTCATCTTTAACACCCCATATTGCGGATAGAAGTAATATTTTAACTAAGAATGATTCTTAATGAGACACCTTGTATTTTTGTTTAATTGTATAATTTACTGTTACCTACTGACATTCGATATATCATACGCGTGGCAACATTGACAACACTGTGCGACGCGGCTGATCAAATTTGCGCAGGACAATGACGGTAGACATATCATGTCGATCTTGCACGATGCGATGCGACGTGCGACGATGAGAGAGACGCCGCCGACAAGACGAACAAGAACAAGATGGAAGAAGGAAATCGATAATATTGGTTTCCTATGTTACTCATGTATTTTTTGATTAATTGTTTTGTTCTTTCAATGGTTGTCTAATGAACAAATAATAAAATATTGAATTTGTGAAAGCGAAAATTGAGATGTGACCTTTGTAGCAGACGAAAAGGGACATTCAATTTCACACGTCTCAATTCTCGCTTGCACAAGAGTACAAAGTGGAAAATAACTTAATAACTACTACAAACACATAAGAATGTCGAAAGAACTAGTATTAAATTCAGAACAAAATACCATTTTTACAAGCTAACCTATATCAAATAAAATAAAAGATGTTTTAAACTCAAATACTCCCCCACTCAAGCCTATACCCATAACGCCTATCAAAAATAATGCATATTTATAAAGCTTACCTTCAAAGATGCTAATAAGGTCCTCGAATCCCCACTGATTTAACAATAAACTTGGTGCACTCATTTCAACACAATCATAGCATACGTATCTGTACCAAATATAAATCAACAATGGCGAGCTGGCGTTGGCGTGTTAGCGACCGCCGCGACCGGTAACCGGTACACGTAAAATGTCGAAGCCAGTCGACCGAGTTTAAAATTTAGAGATGGGGAAACGAATCCTTTACTAGTTATTTTTGTACCTAATACCAATGATGGATTTTAATTATTACGATTTGTATGCTTAGGGCTTACTAAACGGGAATATATTTATTTAGAAAATAAAATATGATATGGTAAATAATAGTATATTAATTTTATAAACCTATTATCATAACTATATGGTAACAGTTAGGATACAGACCTTTGTTTTTTAACTGAGAATAGTAAAACTTATAAATAAGAAAAGTATTCTTAAATATATAAACCTTAATATTTATATATGGTACTCAATAAAAATTTGTATTTAAACTCATACTAGAAATTCTTATTCGGTTTACAGAAACGTTTCGTTGACTGTATATACCATACAGATTTTTCTCCGTGTACTATCGCTGAAGGCTACTTGGAGGACTCCGAAACACAGAAGAAAAACATTTCGAATAAAATTATTTCAAATAGAAATGACTTACAACCTTTGCTGCCACCGTCATTTTCACCTTCATGCGACCTGCAACCGATGCCACTCCCGTCCACGTCATCTTTTCAATCTACGAGCGTTACGACTATTAACAGCCAATTAACACCAACTAATTCCTCTGTACCGGCAATTTTACATAATTTACAAAATGCTACAAATTGTGTATTTAACATTAATATCCATAATAATTAGTTGTTTTTATTTAAAGATTTGTATATGTTGAAATAAAATAATTTTCCAAAAATAATTTTTCCTACTTTTTTGTATATACGGTCGTAGAAAAAATAATGTCTAACTCATACGTAAAGTGTTTTCCCGCACTTGACCGCTTGCCGCACTTGTTAGGAAAATAACTATTTCATTAAATTAATTCAGTTATTAAAAAAAGAAGAAGTGTTTAAAGTGAGAAATTTCCACGTTATTCTTGTCTAGAAGAAAGAATATTCAAGGATTTTTTTGTTGGAAGCAGAAAATAAGGTTTGTTTTATTTTGCCTCAACTTTAAAAACTTGGTGTAATTGTTCTAACGGTTGGATCATCTATTGTTTGGTAGCTCTTGGTGTTGTTGAAATGGAAGCGGATTCCGTCCCAGAATGCTTTCTTTGTAAGGAGGGTGTTGTGGATGACGGTGTAAATGTTACTTGTGGTTTAGAAAATTTGATTCGAGGTTGTTATGTATGTTTTATATCCAACCAATTCTTCCAAATAAATGTAATTTTTCAAAGACTTGCGTATTTTTTCCGAAATCCTGCACCCATATTATTCCGAAAAAGTTTGCAAAAAATAGCAAAAATGCGAAAAATGTTTAGAATGGTTGTATGGTGAATATTCACCACGCTCTAAAAGTGGTCATTTCCTTTTAGCCAAAACAACGGGATTCAAGACCTTGGCTCAAGGAAAAATACATTTTTGCAATTTTCTGGTAAATTTGCAACTCAAATTGCACAGAACATTCGCTAATACAATTGAGAGAGCCCAAGCGCTACTTTTCAGTAAAAAATCAGGTGAAATCCGCCAGTAATTGTCGAATAATCGATTATTTCCGAGATGTTCATTTACGGACTCCGTAATTTAGTGAGAAGAGCAAAGGTGCTGGTGCTATCAGCAATTGGTCTCTAACGTCCAAAAGATGAAGATCAATGCATTTCCAACCTCATCGAGCGGAAATTCGGTAAGAAACTACCATATCTATTCAATATGAAAATTATGGATTTTGCACAAAATATTGGCATTGCGAAAAAATTTGCAGGTATTATTTTTGTAGAGAATGAGCTGATCTACATTTTTTGTCTGAACAAAATTCTCTAATTGGCATATTTAGCCAGATATTAGCGGGAAACCCGTTTTTCAGAGTTTAGGGGTTCATTTTCAGCCCCTTTCGGTACCAAGAACGCATTAAGGATTTTCTCATTTAAAAACACCTGCGATGACCTACAAATTGAGCTACGTGGGAACTCATCAGCGATTTTTTTACAGCTTTCAGTAAATTTAGTTTTCCAGCTACCTTATGAAACAGACCCCAAATAAAAAATTGGCTGTTTGAAAAACACAATTTCATTGACGACTCCCATTTATAATCTGAGCTGCTTGAAGTTACCAAAGCATACAGACAGCAATACGACAAATATAAAATTGTACCACTGTATCATTGCGAGCTTAACTCGATCAAGATGGTATATAATCAGGTAAAGCGCTATATCGCTATGAGCAACTTTGATTTCAATACACAGAATGTTCGTTCAATGATAAAGCATTTAAATATTTCACTGAACAAAATTGGCTTAATTGCTTTGCACATGTTAGAGAAAATATAGAAAATGTAATGTGGGTCGCTGATAATCTCCATGCCAACGTTCATGAACTTATTATGATAATAAATTTTGGCGACAGTTCTGAGAGTGAGATTTTAGACCTCGACGATATCTTACAATGACTTATCTATTAAGTAAAATTCATTTATTTTGAAGTTTACTCTTTATTATTTAATATTGAACATACAAATTTTGAGATAAAATTTAAACCCGTGTCAAAATTTGCCTGAGACTAGATTTGTTTTTTTTTTTTGGCCAATAAGAGAATAGCGACTGCTGGCCATGGCTGGCAACGACGCGCTTCATAAGACTTTACACTGCATTATTAAAGGGCGAACAATTTATATTTCTTGACTTTTGATAAATCTACGTTTATCTTGTGTTATTTTCTATATTTGCTGCCGCTAATCCACACTGTGGTGGGCGAAAAACTCTATTGGCAACGCGTCATAATTCAACGTTTAGAGTATGGGTTGTAATATATTTCATATTGCCTGGTAAATCACTGAACCTAAAATAGTACAATTAACGCCATTTATTGGTGAAAACCTATTTAAAATATTTCTATATTTGACGATGCTAGATCGATGAATAGATTTACAGATTTCTGTATATTGGAAGGAATTTCTATGGCTGGGTAGCAAGAGTATTATTTGCGCCGCCATCGATTATGGCAGTGATCTAGAAAATATGCCTATACATTAAATAAATTATTTTCAGTTAACTTAATTTGCTAAACTTAATTGCCCCACCGGGTTGAGGATGTACTCAAATAGTGTACCCATTTAAATCGATGATAAAAGCCTAATTCAATTTTCATATAACTTTTATACGAATGCTTACACAAATTTTAAAATATAAGTGTCAATCTCAAGTATCTATATCCAATGAATTCTAGAAATGCTATTTACTGTTTTTTTTCACAGATATGGGCTGTAACGCAGCTAAAAATGTAGCTGTAGAACCTCTAGACGGCAACATATCTAACGGCCACGCTGAATCAAGAACAGTGCCAGTCTCTCCCAAACATCAACAGGTTCTTCCTGTGTTAGAAGCAGATGATCTTCAAGAAGAATTGTTAGAAAATAGCACTGTAAACAACGTACAAAAAGGCTGTAAGATTTATATTAAGTTTTTTTTTGTAATATTTTAATACTAAAATTCAACTGATATTTCTAGCAAATGGTATGTCTTTTGACATAGCTTTTGAGGAAGATGACAGTCAAGAAAGCAACCAGAAAAAAAATCCCCCTAAGAGGATTTTAGAACGATTAGATGGACCTCCTCCGACGCCGAGTCTACAACAACTCCAAGAAAAGTTGGAGGAAGCAGAGATTAGAAGGCAACAGGTAAACTTTTATTTTATGTACTAAATTTTAAAGAATAAATTAAGTTATTTCTGGCTAGAAACTTTGTTTTCTCTTTATGTATAAAAATAAAGAATAAGAAAAATAAGATTCTAGTTAACGAAATTATAAACTAATATTATGATAATACCATAAAATTGAACACTGCTGATGGTGAAGTATAAATATAGGCATGAAAATACGTGTAGAGCTTAGAGGTTTACATTTTAAGATCGTAGAGAAATATAAATTAACTACAGGATGTAAAATCTTGTGGAAAAGAATTTGTATGTTAACAGATTTAATAATTTGTAAAAAATGAGTTTAGGGAATGCTTGGTAAATGAAAGGCGGTTAACAGATAACTTAGAACATACTTAACGTGTTTTAGATTCTTGCCCAAAGAGTCCAGTCAGCAAAAATTAGAAACCAACTAAAAAAACTGACCCACCCAGATTTCAGTGTGGACGATGAAGACGAAGAAGATAACGGCTTCCTTAAAGTTCCATCAGAAACAGTTGTTCGGCCCAAAAATGGCTACGACGTGTCGTTAATTTAGACAATCGATTCGAGTTTGTTTACAACCAGTGACGTGTTTTTTATCTATAACAGTAATACAAATATTTATATAAATTATTTTCCTGGAAAAGGATGTAAAATAAAAATATATTTTATCTTAGTTATGTATGGGACACCCCATTCTTTTTCAATAATGAGTGATATTTTATTGTTAAATGTGGCACATATTATTTAATATTTATAATTATAACATTTTTGCTATTTGTAGGTTTTTATTTTTAATTGTCATCAATCAAACTTGTTTGACTGATAATGGTTGATTAATACCTCTCCACCACACAAATATAAATGTTTTGACCTCACGATATCCATACCGTTAATTGCAAAGACGCTATTTTCTTAAAAATCTATTTTTTTTAAACTTTACAAATATACCACCGGAAACCCCATAATTCAACGTTATTTTTTAATTTTTATGTACTAAAAATGTGTAAGAAACATTCATGTAAACTTATTCATAGAAATATATCTGTTACACTCTCATTACAAATGCGCGGTGTTGCCAAGTTTTCATCTATGAAGTAATATACAATGTACTTTTAGAAAACTTTTAAACCTGATTTTCATTTTTTTATCTAAAAGTTCGTTTTGAAACAAAGGAATTTTTTTTTTGATAAAAAAGACGCTTGCCTCGCCAGCCAGCCAAATTCAATGACTATCAACTAAAGATGCCGAATTCGTACAATTACTGCCGTGACATTACTCACCATAGACCATATCTTTAAAAGATGGGCCACTCAACATTAAAAAAATT